TACCATTTCAAAATATTTTCAAAATCCCTTATTTTGTTTCAATTCTCAAGTCAAACGGATACATAAGTATTTCAGCCTTAACACATGATTTCCTTCCTTTTTTCACTCCTTTAGTCTCTCCCTAATTTCACTCTACAATCTTATCAGTTATAATTTTCATATCAATTTGATTTTCAAAAGGATTCTCTACAATCTTATTAGTTATAATTTTCAAAAGGATTCTCTACAATCTTATCAGTTACAATTTTCAAAAGGATTCTCTACAATCTTATCAGTTACAATTTTCATATGAATTTGATTTTCAAAAGGATTCTCTACAATCTTATTAGTTACAATTTTCATATCAATTTGATTTTTTTTTCCTGATTTTTTCTTGTTCATATTTTTCTAATATATATGTGTTCAGATTTTTAATGTATCTAGATGTGTTTGTTTCTTAAATTAATGAGTAATGTCTTCGTTTCAACATTATGATACATTACAATTTCATTATGTACAATGTAACGTGTTCAAATTACTAAATTATCTTACGGTTATAGTTTGGGATACATTAACTAGATTTTTAATGTATCTAGTTAATTTTGTTTCTTAAATTAATGTATAATATCTTTGCTTCAACACTATGATACATTACAATTTTATCATACACAGTGTATCGTGTTCAAATATTAATTTTGATACTTGATATAAAATTTCTACTAAATGTATCATTTATCATGTATCTAGGTGTTTCTATGTATCGGATACACAACATTCTATTCTTGCATGAACAAATACACAATTTTTTAGACATGATACATAAATTCGAATTTACACTAATTGTATCTGATACGTAGCAACTACCAGATACATAAATAGTAATGTATTGATAAATCTATCAATCTCGGAAATAAAATTCAGAAAACGATTACAAAAAATTATAAAAGATATGAATGATCCATCAAAGGTATGGATCTCTTTAGAGTTTATGTTTGTTGTATCAATCCATAACGGATACATTGAAAATCCAAACTCTTGATTCTTCACCTCAACGATGTATCAAATCTCCAATTTTTTCCTCAACTCATCAATCTTTAATTCAGCTGCAATGGTTGATTTGAGATTCACAAATCAATATTTTGACCAACAATCATTTCATCACTTTTGTATCATTCATACCTCACCTCACTTTCTCAGATTTCGAAAGGATTTGCTTCAGATTCCGGAAGAAAATCCTCACTTTCTTAGATTCCGGAAGGATTTCCTTCTACTATATATCGGATTTTCAAGTTTTCCTCATCTCATCGATCTACTGCAATGGTGGATTTGAGATTCATAAAAGAAATTATTTGTCCAACAATTATTCTGTAACATCCGACAATTTGAAATAGCTAAGAAGAGGCTTGGAAGTTGAAAATTTTCATTTTTGGAAAGGATTTGAAAATCTGGAATTTGGCTAAGTGTGGAAATCAGTGAGTTTTTGGCCAACTTTGAGCAGTTGTAACTCCTAGATCAGGATGAGTTAGGAGTAGTTCCAGTTATGGTTGTGAAGCTTGTGGAATGATCTTTCCAATGCCACTGAGTTTGCTCGATTCCGAGTTCGTATGAGTGAGTTATGGCCATTGAAAGTCGGACAGTTGGCAGGGAATCCGTCCGGAAAATTAAGGGCATTTTAGTCTTTTCCCTAGCCAAGTCTTTTGGGATTATATTGTTGTATAGGGCTGATCTTTGGATCATTTTGTCCCATTTTTTAAAAGAGTAAAAGCTAGGGCTTGAGAAGAAGAAGAGAAGAAGGAGAAGGAGAAGAGGAGAAAGAGGAGATCAACAAGTTTCCGTCAAAGATCAACGTGGATTTTCGTAGGGGGTGATCCCTTTCAAGGTATGTGAGTTCTTTGTGTGGGCTGATCCTTTCCCCCACACACCAAGCTCATTTTATGATTTGAGAAAAGATGGGAATTGTTGTTGAAGTTGTTAGTCGTTGTTGATGTTGTTAGTTGTGTTGTTGAAGTTATTGTTGGTTGTGGGAAATGATTGGGTTGTGTTTTGAGTTGTAATCCATGGTATGTTGAGGGATATGATGATCCTTAGTGTTTGGGGTTGAAGCCCTTGAAGTAAGGATGGTTTAGAGTTGAAGAAAAATGGGAGAAAAGTCGAGTTTCTGGGCAAGGGGGTTGGCGCGTCGCGCCTGCCAGCGCGCCCCAAAAGGGGCTCTGAGGTTTCCCCCTTGGGGCGCCGCGCCTCTCAGAGCGCCAACAGGTGACCTCTGACCTTCGAGGGCTGGCGCTCCGCGCCTTGCAGAGCGCCAAGGACGCCAAGTTTCCCCCATTCTTCCATGTATTCTCATGCATATTCCTAGGTGTTATACCTATGTTCCCTAGTTGTTTCCAACACCCCAAAGTGTTTCTAAACATCCCGAACTCATCCAAATATGTGTGATAGTATACCTTGAATCCATAGTTCAATTCAAGACAAGTTAGTATCAAGTTAAAGAGAAGTTAGAGTCAAGTCAAGCCATGTTAAGAAGTAAGTTCAAGCAAGTCCTCCAAGCTTTTCAAGAGTCTTTATTGAACGTTTTAACTTCATTTTTAGACTCAAGTTTCAAGTCAAGTAAAGAGCTTAGAGTTTCAATCTAAGTAAAGAGTCTCAAGACTCAAGTTAAGTCAAGAGTGTAAGTTGAGTTCATTTCTCAAAAGCTATTAGGGAACTATGTGTTCCCAAAGAAGTTTCTAAATGTTTTTACATTTGAGTAAGAAAAGAACTATGATTCCAAAAGAGCCTTAGGGCTAGTTTTCAAGAAAAAGGAACATTGTTTCCAAGTGAGCCTTTGGGCTAGATTTTGAGTAATTATCTCATTTAAAAGAAAGATGTGTTTAAAACACTTATGAGCTAAAAGCATTTTGGGAATAGTATCGAGCACCGATTTGGGGACGCGAGTTCATATTAAACTCAACTCTCCATAAGAACCATGTAGCCAACATGAGAGTTAACGGGTCATACTTTTTAGATAAACCCGTAAAGATAAGCTAGTGGATCCACTTAGTAAAGTTAGCTTCCTATATCAAGACCAGGTATAGGATGGTCCTCAGGCAACGTGAGGTAAAACGTTGTATCATTAGCTTCCTATATCACTGCAAAGTATAGGATGGTCCTCGGGCAATGTGAGGTAAAACGTTGTATCACCACTCATATTCATAGTGGTGGTTTGTCGGTTAGAGAATCTCCCACAGTAGAAAGAGCATAGTTCCTCGAGGGTTCTGCTTAGTATGGATGGGGGTATGGGACTTCATTCATACATTACACAAGTAGACCTTGAGAGGAAACATGGTATTTTCATGATATTATAAATATGATTTTTACGTCATGTTTTAAGAGTTTTACAAGCTTTATATATTGCATGTGTCTTATTGCTTTATATATTGAGTTCAGTTATTCATGAGTTGAACAGAGCCAAGGTAAGTGTTCTCTTGTACTCTTTTCAAGCTTAAGTCGTGGTTTACCTTTCCAGCTCGCATACTCGTACATTCAATGTACTGATGCCAGTTGGCCTGCATCTTATGACGATGCAGATACAGGTACCCCAGATCAGCATCCTGCTCGTCGTTGATCCAGCTGAGCACTCCAGAGTCAGTGGTGAGCCTCCTTGCTTTCCAGATGACTCAATTATTTTGTGTACTTAGTTTTGTTCTATTAGGATGTTGCGGGATCTGTCCCAACATCCATCTCAGTATTTTAGAGGCTTCATAGACAGTCAGTCAGTTAGTATTGAGTCTCTCATCTATGTATATATGTAAATATTCTATTTTGAGACTCGATCTACCTTTTTGGCATGTTATGCATCAGTTGGTTGTTTTATAACCTTTCATTGCATTGAGTAGTATTGTTGAGTTAAGTTTCCGCTGAGTTAAGAAAGCTAGGCCAAGGGTTCGCCTGGGGCCAGCAATGGTCTCCGGGTGCCGGTCCCGCCCAGGGTGTAGGCTCGAGGCGTGACATATTCATTATGTATCTTATCAAATTTTCGGTAAATTTGAATCTGATTTGAATGATTATTCGATGAACATGATACGATGAATAGAGAGAAAAAAAATGAATTTTGAATTTGTTGATTCTGGAAGGATTTGCTTCTGATTGAATTGTTTGAAGCTAGGAGGATTTGGAAGAGAATTGAGAGAATAAAATTTGAATTTTGAATTAATTGGAGCAGTTACCATTTGAGAAAGATTGACAACAAATTGATTAGCGTGATTTGGGGAACTCACATTCAAAATTGATTACCTTCCTTTAAAAGTGTAACTGAATTTGTTTTAATGTATTGGAATTAATTGTATCCGACTTGTTTGCTATGTATCCGGATAACACTGATTTTGAGGGATTTTTGTAAATTGAAAAAGAGTAGGGATACAATATAATTTAGGTCTTTACACTATGGAATTTAGGTAAGTTATACAAAACAATACTTAATCAAATCAAAGTAGTTAAGAAGTTGTGGAAAAAAAATCCTTAATACAGAAAGGTTCCCAACACTGTATTTGGATAAGTCCTTATGTATTATTTCATAAAAATACAAGGTTTGGATAGATTGTATCGTCCCCTGTCATTATATAATATCACACACCAATATTTTGAATTATAAACCTATAAAAAAAATAAGATATGAGGTAGACTTACTATAAAAAGATGGAGTAAAATATAAGATAAGATCATTATTTAATTGTAAGTAAAAACAAAATGAGAAGAAATATTAAAGTAACATAAGATCACACTAAATCAATTATTACACAAAATGAGATTTTATTATCTAATAATAAATTTTAACGATACAATATAGTAAAATTTAAATAACATGATATTTAAATTAATATTTCATTATAATACAATGAATAACAACCGTCCAAACTAGGTGTTAATGCAGAAACTTTTTTAAAAAAAAAGTCATGGAAAAACTTGTCACCTTTCTTGTACTTTCCCATGAAATAAAATTCCACTCAATTTTAAGTACTAACAAATGATGAAGCAAGCTTTTTGCTCCGCTATAGTGACACTAGAAATTCCTCCATTGTTGTAGCGAGTTTAAATTTAGTTGAACTGAAGGTTTGGTTCTGCTCTGTAAATGGCGATTGACGATAACGAGAGTTGCGGAAGCCGAGCTATGGAGCCGTCGTCTCCGAAGCACAGCAGGTTGCAGAGGCAGAAACTTCAAGCTTTTAACGAAGTGTTGAGTCGATTACAGGATTTGAATCTCGAAGAAGCTCACCTCCCTGGCTTTGAAGACCAGCTTTGGCTTCACTTTAATCGCCTCCCCGCTCGGTTAATTTCCAAAACCCTATCTTTAGCTTGTTTGGGTGGTTGTTACCTGTTGTATTGTGTTCTTAGTTTAAATGCAATGTTTGTTTTGATGTTATTACACAATGTTTGTTTTGATTCTTACTTAATTTTCCACTCTTAGTTATAGATGAAAAGTCCCATTTTGTGTAACCATATGGTGTGATGAAGTTATTATTTTTTTTTTCCTCCTCATTTTGTCCTTATTTATTATTTAATAATCCTATTTTATCATTTGGTCTACCTTTTTAAAAGTAGCTCTACCTTGTATCGGTTTAAACTTTAAATTGTTCAGGTGTGATGTTATGTAACAATGCAAAATGATTCTATATATACAAACATTATATTCATCAAAATTTATTGTTTTACTTCTACTTGGGTGGTTTGATGCACTTGAGCCAAGGTTCTTTCGGAAACTCTCTACCTTCAACAAGGTAGTGGTAAGGTCTGCATACACTCTACCCTCCCCAGACCACTTAGTGGGATTTCACTTGGTATGTGGTTGTTGTTGTATTCATCAACATTCAAAAGAATACAATACATTATGAAACAACATGTAACAACCATCCAAATAGAGTCAGCGCATTTTGTTTAGTACTTTTTGCCTAAATTAGATAACTTCTCGTTTTAGAGTAATTTGTATTAAAAGAGAAATTATTTAATACTATAACAAAATGAGCTGGAATGAAGTGTAATGATTACAAAGGAGTATAATCGACCTAGTTTATGAAAATGAGCTTGATGATTAATCAATTTATATATATTTGAATTTGTATGGTTGAGTCGGAATCGTAGATTTTCTTTCGTCTAAATATCTGATTTTTGTGATCAAATGAGATTGTCTACTTGTAGTGGTGTATGGGGATGAATATGGTTGCATGCAGATATGCATTAGATGTGAATGTGGAAAGAGCAGAAGATGTGCTCATGCATAGGAGATTACTGCAACTAGCGAAGGATCCTGAGAATAGACCTGCTTTCGATGTTCGCCTTGTGCAGGTATATTTCCCTTGTTATCTTTTTCCTAATGGTTTTTGGTGCATATAATATGCACAAACTGTGAGCAACTAGAGCCCGTAAATTACAACAACAACAAAAGCTTGCTATTTGGTCTTAGCTACTAAGTTGGGTTCTTAATTCCACACATTTGGTGCTTAGCAGCAAAGGATCTATGATATGGTTCAAATAGATTCCAAAACGGAGGAATCTTCCAACGAGCTCTTTAGCCTTTTCTAAGCCATTCTTATTTCCTCCATCCGAATCCTGTGTGGTATTCTACCAACATAGGAGATGAAGAACTTTTCTGCACGATTATACAATTTGCACATTTAAATCATTTCAGTAGGTTCTCTTATTAAGATGAGTTCTTACTGATTGCACCTAAAGGCTAGATATTTAATTCATCCTTCTTACTCGCTGTCTTCCAAATAGAAATTGGGGGAGTGTACTTTCATGGACCACTACATGCTATCAATAAATTGTTTTTTATTTTGAATCCATCTGTCAGTTTCCTGCTTCATCTATGAACAATGATTGGGAAAATAGATCGTTATTATCAAGACATAATTTTACTTCTGAAATCGGATCTCCAATGTCCAATCCTTTACACTTGATATGGATTGTGTCCAATCAGTTGTTACTGCTAACAGTGCTCTTTAAAACAATGTACTCTCTTAAAAACGATAGTAGCTGTAATTGAAATTTGAAACGCCTGTTGGTGCATAACCCCATGAATTTCTCCAAATAATGGAACTTTAGTAGCTGCATTTGTACATCTTTGTATCTCATGTGGTAAGGTATATTAAGCTTCCCTTTTTCACTCTGAAAGAAAGAAGAATGCCTTGCTTTGCCTCCTTCCTTCTTCGCTAATTGAAGGCTAGACTCACACGTCTGCCTATGAAGATTATGGCTTCCTCCCTTGTTTGATTTAAAGTGGCTTATGTCGGTACTTATCCCATATTTTAGCTATGAGTTTTTTTAACACCTGTCTGGATTGTTGTTTTCCATTGTTTCATAATGTATCGTCTTACACGCATTGTATTTTACTACGTTGTGTTGTCAAAGTAATGCTTGGATAGAATGTGTCGTTTGTTGTTACCTTTTTCCAAAAAAAGAATGTGTTTTTTGTTGACATTTAATAACATTTTTCTTGTTTGGTTTGGCTGTATTGCACTGTACCATAACGGATAAGCTTACTAAATACTGTTAATTACCATAAATATTGGATTTATCAACAATTAAAATATAAAACTAGCAGGAAAAAGGAAAAATAGGTGATTACGTACAAGATAGTAAAGTGGCTTGTAGGAGGAGTATCTGTATAAAGTTGGAGGAATTGTATTACTGATGAGAGCAGGTTGTTAAAACTTATAATTTGATAGTATATGAAACAATCAATTTTTATTTTTAATTTTTTTGAAAAAAGATAACAAGAAACTATAAAGTGGTGAGAATGAGAACATGTATAGTGGTGAGAAGGAGGAGTATGAGGGTCTTACAATACAATGAAGGCAGAATAGGTTAATGGGTGGTGTGAGAAATGAAAAGTAAGGTAAAGAGTAAATGATGAAGGCGGAATGGAAAAGAAAAATAAGAAAACAATCCCACTACACCATTTAGTTACCTTTATCTCAACAACAACAAAAAAAAATCCCACCACACCTAATTGGTTGTTTCGTAAAATGGGTCTTTTCATTGTTACATAACAATAAATTTCACAATGTAATCAATAATACTATATTTAAAGTAACAATACAAGTATAAACAGGCAGCCCAAATAACCTGATAAAAGACTCTTTAACAGTCTACTCGAAAAAAGCTACGGTTGGTATCTTTGATCTGGTGTAGATGTCCGTAAATTTTAAGTCGAAAACATCATAGTTTGGTTAGACTTTTGTTTACAACTTTCTTATAGGTCCAGAAAGATTTTTTGGTGGTCCTAAGTTTCTTTAGGCTGATACCGTTAAGTTAGTCAATGTGTTAGAAGTCTTATATGGTTCTAAGATGCTTCTTAAGACCCAAGGAATTGAAGCTAGAAGTTAGAGCTTGTGGTTTTTAGGCTTGCAATGGAAAGAGGCTCTATGTAGGGTAAGAACAAGAGGCTTGTGAATAAGCAAAATGCATCCCTTTACTAGCTCTATATTAAAGACTCTGCAACTTTATTACGATAAGACTCTGTGAATAGGGTGTACTGCCTCAAAGGTTGGGAATGACACTTCTGTCCAGATCTATGATTGCTCTAAAATACAATAGATGAGATAAAGGAAAAGACCTCTTGATATATTGTCCATGGGAAGAGGAAGGGAACCAAAAGAAAAATAAGTTATTGATTAAATTGAAGAACTATCCCTATCAAAGTTCGATCACAAGAATAATGACATGCTAGAATGCGATCTCACCTAAAGATGTCATAATGCAGGTGCATCCCACCTACAATGGAATCTCATCCAACTCTGATGATGTAAATTCTGCAGTTAAAGAAGAATACCCATGGTATGTTCTTATTTAAGTGTTAAGGTTTGTCCTTTTTATGTTTGTTTATCTTTTTCAATTAGTTTTAGACTTGTGATTTTGCTTGTCCTTTCATCCTTGAGTTTTAATTTATCTTTTTGCCATCGTGTTTCTTCTTTGCCTCCACCTTCCAGCATCCATCCTCCTCCAACATTTGGTTCATCATCAAATCTACAGCCCTTTGAAATTGATGATAATAATGCTCATGTAAATGATGGAGAAAGTGATGCCAATTCTACTTCAGGGACAACCAGGTAATGCTTTCCATAACCTTGCCGTTGGTATATGGGGTAGTAAGACTTGCGATGCTAGTTTGGCTTCTTAACCTTTATATTCTTGTTGGTACGTCACAATTTCAGGTTAGCTATTTTATTTATGACATGCTTTCGCAGCTGTCAATATCTCACATATACATGCACAATTAGCCCTTTCTGGAATGCTAGACTAGGAATAGGAAAAGGATTGCAATGTAGTGCGTATAAATAGGGCTCAGTGTAATAATGTAGTTAACTCGTTTGAAAAATATTTTCCAAGTCTTTTATTTCTCCCATGGTATCAGAGCCATTGTTGTGCACTATACTAACGAATACTGGGAGAAATTCCATCATTGTGCAATTTCTGGTGACTACACACAACTATCTCTCTTTCCGTGGTGTTGTGCAAAAACCAACACCACACAAGGTTCATCAACTTCTGGCGTTAAAACCCTAGCCAGACATGCCCTCCTGCAGGAACCCTTTCATGCACCACCACACACCGCTTAAAGCTATGGTTTTGGCGAGCACATCTGTGAAACGCGCCGGCGCATATGGAAATTTCTCAACAACTTTTCGACTATAGCGATCTTCTGTAGTGCTCAGCTCACAGTTCAGACCTGATTTATTTCATTTACGACTATGTTTGATCACTTTCCTCGCGACAATATGTTTTTGGTGACTTTCTCAAGTTTCCCGACGACTTCAGCTTCTCGTTCTTGGTTTTGGGGGTACACCAGGTGGTTTAGACCTAAATTATAATTTCAGTATAACTTGTTTGCATATCAAAAGACTTTGAAAAGTGTTATTTCAAGTAGGTTGATTTCTCAGCTTTGCATTACAGAGCAAGTGAAATTTACCTATGTCAATCGAAGTTGTAAACATACGAATTGATTGTGTGGTAGTGGTAGACTTGTTTGGCGACAATTATGGTTGGTAGAGATGGAGGTTGAGAGATGACACACATTTTTGCTTATGTCGTCATAATCGTGGTGAGGATAAATAGAGAGGAAAGTAGGATGCCCCTGATCCTACAGCAAGTGAAATATTCATTTGCGAGATTATCATTAAGTTCACTTCTTCTAAAACTTTGATTCTTTTTTACAATTTTTTCTGATTGATGATTTTTTCCTGTATTCAAGCAGTATTCTATGTGCCATTGAATTTATGTAGGTCCATGCACGAGATTACTTTTTCAACGATTAACAAGCCAAAGTTGCTGACTCAGGTAGCTCTCCCTTGTGGCAATCTTTCTTGCTCCTTACATGGTACTTGCGCCTATACATTGTAACTGTGAGTTTTCATAAAACTGTCCTTGAATATATAGTGTAGATATTAGCATAAAATGTTCTGAAAATGAGCTAGGCATCTCTGAAATCTACTGTTTGCACATATATTGACAGAATTTAATCTGTTATTACTATCTTGATTTATGTATACTGATACAATATGTGATAAAAGTTAATTGTCTTAATAGTAATATTCAAATCATTTATGACATAATATCACTGCCTATTAGTATGATGTTGACTCAATTTCTTTCATTCTGGAGTGCCTTCATTGTAACACAAAAATGGGCTCTCTGTGCAGAACAAAAGTTATCTTTAAACTCAAGAAACCAGGATAAAGGTATCTCACTAACTGGAAGGTTTTGATACTTAAGTCCTTCTCTACCGCAATCTGATGTTTGTGCTATTGTAACTTCTTAACCTTCCTAAATGGTTGAAAGATGTATGTATGATGCAAGGCTGGGATCCCTTTTAAAATAGAAGATATCTATTAGAAATATTGAGATGATTTATATGCACAAACACCCTTTAGTTATCTTATTTGCTTTTCTATCTCAGGCTGTTTTTTTTTAATCATTGATTAATTAGTCCACATTAGAGTGTATTCTTTGTTAGTTATAATAGGTTAATCTGCAGAAACTCCCAGATATGTTTCAGTATTTGGAAATGCTTGCATGTTGTCTTTGATGTCATCCTGTTTCCTCTTAAAAATTGAAGCTCATCTTGGTTTTCCAGTTGACTTCTATAGTTTCTGAGATTGGTCTGAACATTGAGGAAGCTCATGTTTTTTCGACTGCCGATGGTTTCTCCTTAGATGTCTTTGTGGTTGATGGATGGCCATATGAGGTACAGTGTTGATGTTTCTTTGTATAGAGAACCAATTCTTGCTATCCATTTGAAAGGTCTATGTTTTATTCTTCAGTTTATACTTAGTTGACTAGCATAGTTGTTTTACACACTGAAATAATATGGAAGAGGATTACTTTGTAATTTCTGAAAGTAAGATATTGATTCTTCCTTCTTCCTACAAAGACATTTACATTTTGGGCCATTTCCTCCTGGATTGTTGTCGGTTCAGTGTTTGATTTGTTTTTCAATTAAGATTAGCTTGCAATTCTTTTCCAATGAGCTTCTGCTTTTATCTTTCTCATTATAGATTCATAGAAGTTCACTAAATATGGTTACATTCAATGTGGGAGTATATTATATCAGTGTTTCTTTTATGGATTAGGTAAATAATTCTATTTTTAATGGGAAGATCTCCCTGATACAAGTACAAGGTAGATTATCTACAAGTAAAATGATTCTACATTGAAGACCCTCGGTTTTCTATACAAACTGGGACCTCATGGGTGCACCAAAATGAAACTAGAATAGAGAGGCTATTCCTGAAATTGGCATAATCGTGCTCTATCCTTTCAAGCACTCTCCTAGTTCTTTCCTTTTACAGGATCCACATGAGTGCTAGTGGGGCCACATTCCAAACTCTCTGGTTTTCTTTCCGTCTCCTAAATTTCTAACTGGAGAGTGCATCCTTCACTGTTCTATCATTGCCCATCGTGGCCCGAACCATCTCTATATATCATACCACAAGCGAGTAGCCAACTAAAATGTAGAGGGAGGTGGTCCACATCTTCACCCCAACATTTACACCTGAAGTACCATCTGACATATGTATTCCACTTCTTTCTCAAATTCTTTGCTGTGAATATTGCTCCCATCGCTGCATACCTGCCAGCCAAGCAACAGAATACCCCTTTGTTGGTGCCCGTGGAATTCAGACAGTTAAAGTATGAAGAAAACCAGATTCCTCCCTCTCCAAGATCATTGATAATATGATTTTACTGAAAATGATCCATCTCTCTCCACCCGACACCTTCATGAGTCCTGTAGATATACTTTTCTTGTAAAGCATTTCACAATCAGGCCTTGACAACTTTTCAATGTCGAGAACTCCTCTTGACCCTTACCTCCCGTGTACTCCCCCTTCTTGTAACATTCAGATTTATTGTATTGTCATTCCTTTTGGCTTGATATACTATAAATGCTTGGGAATGTGCCCCAAAGTTCTTTTTTCACACCACCTATTACTCCAAAAGCTGAATCTGCTTCCTCTTCCACCTTGAAGGTTATGCTGCCGATGATGTTATCCCGCCCTCTCATAATATTTCTAACTCGAAAGGAGGTGCGATATTTTTAGTCCTCCACTCCCTTTCAACAACTCCATACTTTTCCTCTATCCCTCTCGATAAATCATGTTCCCTAATCTTGAATCTCCATAGCCATTTCCGTAATAGGGCTTTGTTGACAATTCAAAGATCTTGCACCCAAGATCACTCCATCTTTTTGTGTGGAGAACAAACATCCTCTCAACTGACTTGGTGGAACTTCCTAATCCTGTTTGCTGAATCCCATAAAAAGTTGTTTGGAGTGTTTCCAATTTAGCTTTGTGATACTTGCCAGTGCGTGAAGCAATTACATTAAGTATGTATGGATGCTAGACAGAGTGTTTTTAATTAATAATACATCCTCCCCCCTTAACATATACAGTTTTTGCTATCTTGGTAACTTTTTCTCAACTCTCTCGATCACTGGGTTTCATGTTCCCTGATTTTTGTGGAAGCGCCCAAGGGTAAGCCGAGATAAGTAGTTTTCATAGCTCCAACCGTGCAATTAAGCACCGTCAATATAGTTTACTCCACTATTGGAATTATATCATACTTCTTGAGTTTGATCTTGATGCAGAACACAGCTTGGAACCGTATAAGAATTTGTCTAAGGACTAAGATACAAAATATTGAAGTGTCCTCTCCGAGCAATAGACGTGAAACCCTCACTGTACCTTTCTCACCTATCGCTGCAAAGAAACCCCTCAAATAACCAAGTCTTTGTTCTCTTCCTACAATCGCAACGTTTAATGATTATGTTTCCGCCTTTTGTTTTAGCGGTGCTATATAATTCATACTTTTGCTTTTAATATATAATTACAGGAAACAGGATTGCTGAAGGGTGAGCTGCAAAAGGGAATAATGAGGAGCAAGGTAGGTATTCTTATCACTGCTTGATATGCGAATGAGTGTCACTCAATTTTTTTTTCTATTTGCTTAGCTCATGCATTTTAGAAAAGGGAAGGGAACTTCTCACCCCAAGGTAGGTGGAAAACTACCGGTTTTTAGAGCATATCAGTAGTTTGAAACTAAAAAAAAGGTTTATGGATATTGGAATGACAAGTGGTTACGGTTGAGGAAGCCGGAAAGCGGAGAAATTCGGGAACCATCGGTAACCTTTTGAATCAATTATCTGCTTCGTGTCAATGTCTTTTCTTTTGCAATATCAAGGTGTTGGTCCCATGTTGTTTCTTACTTTATATATCTAGTGCATCCTCTAGAGAACTCCTGTAACAAGTTGATTTTCAATCTATGTTGTCATGAATGGACTAGTCATAATAGCAATAATTTGAATTTGGCATGTCTGTTGAGTGTCCACATTGGTGTAGGAAATTTGTTTAAGTCTCCTAATATGGCCTTGGACAATCAATTCTCATCTCATGAGCTATAGCTTTTAGGGTTGAGTTAGATCCAAGGTCTTAACAATGTCTGCTGGGAAGAGTTTCATGCTTGTTTATTTGATTTGTAGTCTGAAAACCATTGGAAGTTAATAATAATAAGAAGAAATGTATAATTGTCGAAAAAAATAAATAAGAAGAAGAAATGTATGACTTGTGAACATAAGGTCTCTGCTACTTTCTGTCATTCTTACTTTAGTAAAGTGAGGAGTCTTGCTTACTCCTTAGGAAGGTTTCCCTTGATTTAGGACAAAGGTATAGGGTGATCTCCAGTAGAGTAATCCTACAGTTACTTTGTTGCTAACTGTCCTCAAATCGATTTCAGGTTTCCAGTCCCGGGTAGAGCCACAAATTAATGTAAACTAAATCATGGCGTACCCAATTTTTTTTTAATGTAAACTGGACTTATTCTGCTTGTATGTATTAATGGGAGGACATAGAAGGACTATAATTTCTCACACATCATATTAGATAAGATATATCTTGACAGTAATTCTCTTAAAGAACATATAATCTTTGACGTATTTGTTACTTGAAAGCATGGGCCTACATCAATTAGGTTTCTCTGACCAGCATGGCTTTTTCATTTTTCCATTTTATGGTTGTCTATTGAACATCCTATCGAAAAAGTCTGTCTATAGAACTCTCTTTAGGTAGTTATGTGCAATATGCATTTGGTTTTGGTTATGAGAATGATAAAAAAGATATAACACATCTTTATAAATGCAAAAACATGTTTGGTAGCCTGGGTCTACACACACTTGCCATATTCGGTCTATAGTGATAGTCCTCTGTGATGTTTTTCATAATTTTCCACTCCCTGTTTCTCTCCTTTTTCTTGTAAGATGGCGTCAAAACAATTTCCTAGAACTAAAGGGTGATGAATTACCAATTAATAAGATAACAAAAGGTGATGAAATTCTCTATTACTTTTCTCAGCACGCTTTTTCTCTGTAATTGTGTACTCACCGTGGGGTTTTATAATGGACATTCTATTGGTGTCAAACTTGTGATCTTCCGGTGATGTTATTTCAGGAGCAACCACGACATTCCTTGGTTGCTAAGAACGGGCAAGGTCAAACAATATCTGAATCAGTTTCTAACTGTGTTAAAATACCTACTGATGGAACTGACGACTGGGAAATCGATCTTCGTTTGTTGAAGTTGGAAAACAGAGTTGCTTCTGGATCATCTGAAGATCTGTATGATCTAATAATCTATTTCTGATTTCTAGTTGGGTTGTAGTCGGTGGATTTACACTCTCTTTCAGGTATAAAGGCACGTATTGTTGCCAGGAAGTAGCTATAAAAGTTCTGAAGCCAGAACAGTTGAATATGGATATATTAAAAGAGTTCTCACAAGAGGTCTTCATAATGAGGTATGTCAGTCATGTTCATGTTCATTAATTTAGCAGCTCTTTAGGATTTACAACTAAATTGTGTTTCATTCAATGAGCAGCTCTTTAGGATTTACAACTTTGTGTTCATTCATGTGGAATGTGACTCTGTCCATGATTTACAGACCAATCGAGACCAGATTGTTTTAATGCTTCTTGGGATTTTGGCTTCTCTATATGAAAAAATTATTATGTACCAGTAGAGAATGTTCTTATATTTCTCACTTATTGGTCCCAATTGATGTTCTGTTTATAAGTGTCAACTTATCTGATACCTGGAGTAGAATTAAAAGATGGTTGAATATTTCTTCAGAAAATAAGATTTTAATTTTAAACCTTTTTCATAAAAAGTAGAACAAAATAGTACATTCAACTAACGACTATGAAAAGTGAAATAGAACATCCAATTTGGGATGTAGGGGGTAACATTTTTTAGCTTTAGTACTTGAATTGGTGATCTCTTTACATGCATGAACATGGGAACTAGGTGTGCCATGACTCTTTCTGTAATTGGCATTTGTCTGTTCACAGTAACAAACATCATACACAAAGTGAACGATAAAGCTTTCATGAAATTCTAGCATTTTCCAAAACTTGATCTCATCTGAAAAAAGGTCTGGTTAGATAAAAGATTCTCTGGCAATTGACAACTCATCTTTCTAGATTAAGTCACCAATCGCAAACCTTCTTTGCATATGACAGTCAATTCGTCATGGACATAATTAAACCTCCCTTTGGCCCGAGGAATAATGACAAACTGTACTCGTGGATTTGAATTTCCAGTATCTAAGTTATAATTTTTTCGTTACATTTTCTTTTCTTTGTTAACTCCTATTGTAGGAAAATTCGGCACAAAAATGTTGTTCAATTTATAGGAGCATGCAGGCAACCTCCAAACCTATGCATCGTGACTGGTAATTCTGAGATTTCAATCTGCTAAGCTTGAAGTATATGCTATTTAGTATTGGAGAAATGCTGGGTCTGTGTTGATTTTTGTTAATTGTTCATCAATAGATCTAGATTTTCATTATGTTACTGACTGGTGTGGTGCATCTGTTGAATTTGCCGAAATTTTGAACCATATCTCTTAGCTACTGATACCATATTCCACTGTAGTCAAAGGCGCGCTTAAGCCCTGAAGCGAGGCTCAAAACGTGTTGAGCGCTTCGCCTCGCTTTATGTGCGCTTCAGTGTCATCATCAAGGTTCTAAGGCAAACTTTTCCTTGCCAATGAGCCTCTTCTGAAGAAGTGACACTAAATAATTGATATTTCACTTTATCACAATTTTTTTTTTCAATTTATTTGGTCATATATTTGTCATTCATGTTTATAATTATTAGTCTTGGACTAAACATATATGTTCGTATTTTTTCTCCCTTTACGCCTTTTTTCATTAAAGCACACGCTTTATTTGTGCTGTGCACTTAAATCCCCCACGGACCTTAGAGCTTTTTTGCGCTTTTCGCCTTTGATAACACTGCCACATTCCATCACATATTATTTCGAGACCTATGGGTATCTGTCCGTCTCCATCATATTAATTAAAAGCTTCATTTTGATTACTCTTGATCAGAGTTCATGTCGAGAGGAAGTATTTACAACTTTCTGCACAAACAAAAAGGTGCCTTTAAGCTCCCTACTCTCCTCAAGGTTGCAGCTGATGTCTCTAAGGGAATGAATTATCTGCACCAGAATAACATAATTCATCGGGATCTGAAGACTGCCAATCTTCTAATGGATGAACATGGAGTAAGTCAGAGATGTATCTATAGAATATGAGAAAGGGTGGTCATGTAGTTTTAATGTGTTCATTTTGAAGTTTGGATATCATTTCACTGCTTACTAAGTTATTCAGATTATTCTATCCCATTGTTGGGAACTATTAAAAAAGGAAAGATGGTGGGCTTATCAAGGTTAGAACTTCAATGGCATTAGAGAATATGGAGAAAAACTTTCTTGTATAATTAGGCTATCCTGGAGTATTGAAGCAAAAATGGGAAATGCTATCTTATGATAATTACATCAACTTTTTGAAGTGCATAGATACCTCAATATGGGATTCATATCCTCAAATGCCTTACTGACGAAGATGATGAATTAATTCAGAAACTGAGTCTAACTTGGTCGGTAGTTATTGTTGTTGGTGAAACAAGAGTTGTTAATAGACTACAAGACAAACTCTTAAGGACAAAGAATAATCAAGCAAGATCTAAATGTCAAATCACATGCATTTTACTATTAACAGAATGTGAGCTTGATCAATAGATAACTCAAATTACGTCATGATTAAAAAAAAGGTGCAAATGTTGCACTCCCAAAACTACCAAATTGTACTGATATTCTTGTTAAATGTCTTTTTTACTCGTCCCTGCATTTGAAGGAAAGAAAACAATAAATTTTCCTTAAATCATCCCTATGCTCTTTCAACTTGGTGCTGGCCCGAGTTGTCTGGCAATGATCCTCTTCCATTCAAAGGATATTCCCCCTTTTCTTAAACTGTGTATTCTCCTTGATTCTTAGATGCATTTCTCTCCTGTATAGGCTGTTAAGGTTGGCGATTTTGGGGTTGCCAGAGTGCAAGCTCAAACTGGGGTGATGACTGCAGAAACTGGAACATATAGATGGATGGCTCCTGAGGTATGCAAGATGTAAAATTCATATTTTTCCCAGCACTTGTTGCAATATTTAGAATTCTGTTTGAAGTCATGATTCTGATATTTGTAATTTTCTTGTTCACATTATGCGTGATTTCTCTACCAAAATTTCTTTTTTATCACATGCTTACATTTTGTTGTCCCCCCAAAAGAATGAAGTTCATGTGAGATTAGAATTTAGACAGGTTTGTGATGCCTAAATGCAAACAATTTTTAGTCTTACAAAAGAATGACATTGACGTAATAGATGATGATGTGACACATAAAATTAAGTAGGATAGCTGTAGGAAGTGGTAATTGTAAGGAAATTAACCGTGTCTTGTTTTTGTACAACTTTATTATTTATTAAATGGTAAATTTTTGGTACAAAATATTATAAAGATAGCGTTTAAGTAGGGGAAATATAGATAGATAGTATTGATGTACTATACTATGATGATTAAAAATGTTAAACAGAACGAGGTAGATCCAAAGTTACATAGAGAAAGATAGTCTCAAAAGAGTTCAAATCTATCAAGATTCATGGGGATTTAGCTAATGACATACCAGAATCAGAATGAAAGCTGAAGATACAGATATGAGAGGTCAATTAGATAGGATTTATGCCTCTAATTGATTTCTTAGACTTACATTAGGTCTTGTGTTAATCGGGAACATTTTCATTATGGTTAGAGATGATATGTACATCAATATTTCAATGAGTATGAGTTTTAGAAATATCACCAGTTTTAGAAACATCTAAAACTAGAGTTGTTGGTGGTTGAATATTAGAATAAAATGTATCCAAATAGGGTAGAAAGGATAGATTATTAATAAAACTGACCCCAACTAGTTGGGGACTGGAGTTGATTGATTGATTGATTGATCGACTTAATGAAACGTTTCTCCTTCATGCTGTCACTTTCAACAACGTTTTACTGAGTTCTTAGGTCACTTTCAATTACGTTTTATATCTTCCCACTCCACCATTATATTTCAGCAATGTTGAAGCCTATTTTGTGCTTAACCATTTGTTAGCAACGTAGTTTACTTCCTCCTTATTTATCAAAAAATAAAAAGGCTTACTTCAACCTAAAATGGTTTCTCTTTGTTGAAAGGTAATCGAACACAGACCATATGATCACAAGGCCGATGTTTTCAGCTTTGGTATAGTGCTGTGGGAACTTCTGAGTGGAGAAGTAAGTTTTACTGCTACTCAATGTCACCTAGTATTTCTTTATTACCCAGTCTTATGTCATGTCTACAACAAGCCAGATACCATATGCACACTTAACACCTTTACAAGCAGCAATAGGCGTTGTGCAACAGGTAATATGCCTGTTATTGTCATTGTGAATTTAGTGAAATCTTCTCTTGTTGAGCTACCGTTCCTCATTAGAATGATATTTATCAGGATCTACGGCCAAGAATTCCGGAACATGCTCATCCAAAGCTTGTGGAACTTGTTGAGAAATGTTGGCAGCAAGATCCCACTCAAAGACCTGATTTTTCAGAGATTTTGGATATTCTCAAGCGTCTAACCAAAGAGGTATGATATTTACATCAGTAATCTTGGTTCTGTTGAAGTTAATTTTTTCAGCTTAGTTTTACATGCTACAAAAACAGGTTGGGCATGACGGAGAGGGCAAGTCAATTGGTGGCTTTTTGCCGGCTCGTAAAAAGGCCCATTACTGACATCTGGATGCAGGGGTTTCAGGATCTGTCACAATGTATAGAGTTTGAGATGTCCAAGGTTGATCTAATTTAACTTTTGAAAATCATGAGCTCTATTGAATTTCTGCTTAGCATGTTTTCTTTCTTTCCTTCATATTCTAAGTGCACAACAGTAAGGAAATTTTTGGAAAGTTTGTAAGGATACTTTTGAATGCGCCGAAGTTCTAATTGCTAACCTTTTTCTCTATTTTGCTTATTCAGAGTTAGAAACTCGTCTCAAGGTGTCGTGAGACTATTGCCATGGCCCATGGAAGTACAATTTCTCTTCTATTTAGTTAAATCAACCAGGCTTTAACGTAAATGCTGTTATTCTATTTAGTATGTCAAAAATGTCTTCTTAGATTAAGAAGGGCAGACAAATTTAGTTAACTATATGGTTAGTGTAAAACTGACTACCATTTTCTTTATGAGCTGTCTATCTGGTTAACACAGCTAAGGGAATTAACCACTTTGAAATGATTGATGTTATACAAAAGATCACCAGTAAAAGGGAATTTGTGCTTGATTGTAACTATAACGACAAGTTACAGATTGATAGAAGCATCTCTATGTACGTATATGGTTTGAGAGTGGGGTTTTATAATTTATGTCGTGTTCATTACCTAAGAGAAAGCTCATGATAGAGTGCTATCGAAAGCATTTAAGATAAGTAGAAGTGAGCTAGAACATAGTTTTGAAATTATTTTTAGTTTCTTAGTAACTTTCTTCATTTAACCTATCTATTGCTTTAGCCTAACATATCCACAAGATGAATATTGCAAAGATAGATAGATATATGGTAGTAAAAAATTAAATAAAACTAAAGTGAAGATATAAGTAGAACGTATTAAGGATAAAATGAGAAAAGGTAATTTGAAATTGTTTGGTCATCCTTGCATCAATCTACTAAAATGAGAAAAGGTAATTTGAAATTGTTTGATCATCCTTACATCAATCTACTACTAAATCAGTCCGTGGATGTAAAACTATAATGTAAGTGTTATATGGGATGAGGTTGAAACAAACTCGATTTCCAATACAAACACTAATATATATTATTCATTTATTTACCACATCTAGCCTTATAGGCCCTTATGAAGTCATCATGGTTCACAACAAAGATAAACTTACCTAAATTAGATGAGAAAAAATTATCTCGAAAGACCTAAAAAGCTTGTTGAATCAACATTAGATTCAGCTTAAGATAACAAAAATATTAGACTAGGTATTGTAAGGCTCTACCCAGAAGGGAAGCCCTTTCAAAAATTCTCAATGGCCAAGGCAGAAGCCATAGGCCAAAGAGGGGGTTTGGAAATAGTTTTCAACCAGCAATAGACGCGCCTCGGTTAGAACCTCACTAGCTGCGTCATTGCCCCAAGCGCAAAGATAAATTTACTAAGCTATTGCGATTGAATTTTGTAGTCTACATTTAAGGACTCCGTGCGTCCACATTATCGATGTGGGATAATAATAATAATAATAATAATGGCCTAGTCTCATTCGAGGTAATGGTTTAGTTGGATTATAGTACTTTATTATTAATAATCAAACCTAAATTCTGAAAAAGTGAAACTGAAACGATATTGGTTTATCACATGAAGGCTCTTGAGGAACTAAACATACATATTCTTCAAAAAATATTACTCTACTTATTGATTTTTACTTTGTAAAATGGATAGATAGTTCCTTCTTTTGGCACAATGTTTTAACATTCTGGATTTAGGGGTGTAAAATATGAAATTGTGCATGTTAAAATAAGTTGAGTTAATAAATTAAACAAAAATTATGTAATCACCCAACTTGAGATAACATAATCCCTACCATTTGAATTAATTGTAAAAAAAATCCCCTTTTTTCTTCTCTTTGTCTTAACATTCGTTATCTCACTCCACCTCTATCAGATACATTACAATTTTCTTTGTGTACAATGTATCTAGTACAAATGTTGTATGAATCTAGGTTAAAGTTATGTATTTGATACAAATCTCATGTATCGTTTGCTCTGTATCAAACGAATGAGTAATGTATTTGCGAGTTTTGGAAAATTTAGGATATTGTAATTTGGAAAACTTTCAGGATAGAATACAATCAGTGCCCAAACTGTTGGAATTTCTGTACTTTATACATAAATAAATGGATTATTGATCCATCCAAAAATTACTTGATTGAAATGAATTAGATTAAATTGAACAAAATATGGAAACTTATACCTATACTTTTATTTCATTTATCATAAATTCTATTTATTTATTTATTTATTTTTACTTTTCATTTTTTCATTAAGTCAATTAGAGTTGTCAGTATGGGTTGGTCCACCCAATTCAGGCTAATCCATACAGGCTTTGCAATTTGACGGGTCAGGCCGGGCTAGCCCATTTTTTATGTGGGCCAGAAAATGATCAGCCCAGCCCACAAGTGTGTGGGCTACGGGCTTTGCCAGGCCAACCCTCTTTTCTTAAAAGTATATTTTTTATAATTTTTTAAATTAAAGTATAATTTAAAAATATTATCATAAATATCGACTAGTGTTACTACTTGTTAATCAAATACACAAATAAAAATCTATATAATATTTAGGGATAAGGGTCTGAAAAATACTCCAACTTTGGTCGAATTTGTTGTTGCGATACTAAACTTTCATGAAGACCTATTACCTCCCTAGACCATTTAATACCGTATTTTAAACATATATATTTGCCCACATGGACATAAAAAATAATGCAAAATTATAAATAGTAATGTGTCCACGTGGGCACATATATACCTTTAAAATACACTATTAAATAGTTCAAGGGGTAAAAAATACGATATTAAATAGTCTAGGGAGGTAATAGGTCATCATGAAAGTTTAGTATCGCAACAACAAATTCGACCAAAGTTGGGGTTTTTTTCAGACCCTTATCCCTAATATTTATTAAGTTTGATTTCAAGTAAAACATAAATAGCTAAATAGAAATATTAACCTAATTGTTTTCCAATGATCATAATAAAACACAAAAACTATGATAATATTCCATGGGTTATGGCCTATGTAGTGATTCGCTAGAAATTTTAGGAATTTTATTTTATGTAGTACATATTTTATAAACATAATTTGGAAACTTACATACATATACTAATATTGAAAAAGTATTTACCATTTATAGCAATAATATTTTTTTCACTTGATCACTTTTAATACATTTATATTACAGACAACAATTTATAGAACACATATAATACAAGTTTTATTCATTGATAATATATTTATCACACATCTTAATACACTTATAATACAATGTGTCAAATTCTTACCAAACAAGCATAATATATTTTAAAAAAACAGTTATAATACATATATATTGCATACATAATTCATTTTTAATACATATTACATATTTAACATAGTATTGCTATGCATTGCTATAAATGGTAATAAATAAAATGCATCGCTAAAATCAATAATTATTTATTAAAAAGTATCGATCCATGTAATTTTTCCAACATAATTTGTATTTAAAATTGTAATATTTCAAACTTTAAACAAATTCTGAGTGTAGACTCCTGTTATTTTTAATACTCTATTTTATTTTTATTTTTTAATTAATTTTTATTTGACCCACGGGCCTACCCTATCCATATTTCTCAAGCTCCACAAATCGACAGACTTATTCAGGTCGGGCTAAACAACCCTTTTCTTAAATGAGCTCCAAAATCATAGCTCAACCTTATCAAATCACGGCTTAGACCAGATTGACCCAACGGATCTAGCCCATATTGACAGCTCTAAAGTCAATAGAGGTTTAGTAATACAGAGGTCAATAGAATCAATCAAATTATGTAGCAATTTTCTTATGTACCAATAACAACACATTGTACCACATTTCATAAATGACGGATTATATATTACTACTCTTAACACGATTTTCTAGTTTTCAATAAATAGCATTAGATTTTTATTAATACCTAAAAAATTAATAAATGAATTAAAATGAAAAATGAAAAACATTTTTTAAAAAAAATTCTAACGTATTTAATTACTAATATAATTTCCATAAATACAATATTTTATAACTTACATTCTCTAATTTTTTCATAGTCAGTTGGTCAAAAAGATCTCTCTACCTAAAATATCTCTCTAGAATATCTTCTCTTCCTAATTTTCTTCCATAATTCAAGCAAAAATAATTGTTCCTAATCTTCTTCTTAAAAAGTCTCTCTTCTTCCTAAAATATCTCCCCTCGATATTCTCAAACAATTTTCTCCCTTAAATATATTCACAAGTTTTTTTTCTTAGTTTTTTTTACTTTTTCATACACGATTTTTTCTTCATTTTATTGGTAGACAATTTTTTCTTCTTCTTCTCTATTTGTTGTCTATATAATTTTTATGTTTTCATTCATGATTTTTCTTAGTTTTTCTTTTTAGATAAATCTTGAAAAATAACAAAATTATTTATTTATTCAGTATGAAAAGTGATAGCATTCATTCAATCTCGATAATAATGTCAAATGACAATATTTTAGTTTGTTAAGGAATGAATTATGTATTTATTTTATTTTAATTAATTTGAAAGAATACAAATAATTAATAACATAATAGAGAAAAACATGGAACAAAAATTTCAAAAAGGAAAAAAAGATTTTAAATATAAATCAGTTACGTTTTTGAAAGAGCATATGTTGCAAAAAATAGTTTTGTCTTCTAAATCATTCAATTGATAATTTTCAAAGCTTCTTCGAGTTGATTTCGGCATATTCTTGAAACGGAAACGGAAGTTTTCAAAATTCACGACTATAATTTCGCCAGTTCCATTGAATTCAAGAAATTTCGACATCATGTATTTTTGTTTTTGTCGATTAT